TCAGAACTGCTCTGGTGTCTCTGACGACATGCATTAAAAAAGATTAATGTTATCCTAACTCAGTGATTTTATTCTACTTTTGCAGCAGTTCCAAGACGTTCTGGGCCGATGTCAAGGAGCCTTTAATGCATCTTTACCACATCCCCGCTCAGCAAGAACTTACTGAATCAGTGAACGCACGTCAGGGTGCTTTTCATGTGGATAACCACCAACTTCAGATCTGGAGATGTTTTAACGTTCATCTCATTAGGCAACAAAGTCTGGACTTGCACTCATGCTAATAAGCGTCTGGTTTGAATTTACTCATAAATCCGGCTTTTACTGGGACCATGTACCCTTTGGTTCACATTGTATTAGCGAAAAAAAAAAAAAGGACTTAATTCAAGCTTATTAGCTGCAGAGTTACTCATAATGAAAACCAAAGAATTTCCACCAACCTGGGCATGCAGCCACAACAACCTTTTATCACCTTTGGGATGTCTGCAAATAATAGGGGCTCTTGTTTCAATTTCCTTTTAACATAACATGAGAATATTGAGCAAAACCACTAAACATCTAAATGAGCTATAGCTCCTCTGGCTCACATCTCCCTGCTGGCTGTAATCCCTGAAATCAGTGTTGTGAATGGCTGCAGATGTGATGTAATGGACGAGTGAGTCCTTAGATATCTCCTTATATGTGAAAGCCAAGTGTCTCCTTTACAAGTGATTTAAAACGACTTAATCTCTATCAGATTAATAAGTATTTCTGAAAACATTCAAATGAATGTAACAGAGTAGAAACCTGGTGATGCTAAGGTCGCGCTCTGTCTCTAACAGTTAGATTTAGAAAATTTATTTGACCTTTTCCTCAGAAAAAAGACTTTGTTTGTGATTAAAATGTTTAATTGTTGCTCTAACCAAATGTGCCTGTATCCATGTCCTCACTGTCAGAGACAAACACTCGTCTGCCTCATTTTAATGTCATGTTGTCTCGTCTTTTGCATTTCGGGTGTGGTTGAGAGGAGCTGGGTGGCTGTGCCGTCCCATATTCATACCCCAGGGAAACCAAAAGTCACAAGTGACTACTTAAGAGTTCCTGGACGCTTGAATCCCCTTAAAGAACTAGACTATTAATAGCTTTGGTTACATTTATTTTAAAGAAATTTAAAAGAATTCAACATAGCTTTTTTTTTTTTTTTTAAGAGAAAGACAAAACATGTTTAAAATAAATGTACTCTGGTGAAAGGTTTTATTGTTCTTAAACTTTCAGTGTGAGATTGTGCTATTTGAACAACAGATGAATTTAATCGTAGGCATTTTACTCATATTTACCAGACAATCCAATAAATATCCTCATAATTTTTTACAAAGTTGGTTTTTGGTGACTTGTGATATTCACATTGCTGTCAGCTGGGGAGAACTTTGTTTAACCTCTGTATTTGTTAAAAAAATAATAATAATAATAATTAATTCCTTGTTTCACACATAAAGACATTGTACTAAGTTGGTTCATTCCAATATTTACTACCAGATTCTGGTATCATTATTTGTGACCATTTTAATCCAACATTAACCATGAATAACTATGAACTGGAAAGAAAAAAATAAATGTATTATAAGAGTATAAATATTTATAGATCAACTAGATTTATGCATGTATAATGAGGGTTAAGACTTGAAAACAACAGAAAAGTTTATTTTGCTTATTGGCAATATTACAAAATGTCATTTAAGAAGTTGGACTGATGAAAGTTTTTGTCTAAAAATAATTGAGAAAACATGTTTTTTTTTTTTCTGTTCAAACATTCACTGATTTGTAGGTCCCAAAGGAAGATTTTATTCTGGATAATAAGCCTCATGTTGCATTTTGTTTGACACATAAATCCGTTTGCATATAAAGTTGTGAAAAAAACAACAACTTTTCCCACACAGATTTCAAGTATTTTCCTTTTTTTTTCTTGGTTACATTTACATGTTTCAGACCACCCAACAAATCCAAACATCAGATAAAGATAACCTGAGTGAAAAATGCATTGTTTGCAGAAAATCTAGAAAACTTATAGATTTCATCCAAGAAGTTACAGAGAGTACATACCATTTAATTAATATTTGGTTTGTTTCATACCAGGAGCCTCTCTTTTCTACATGTGACACTTTATCTGTTTAAATGTTGCCCCTTTCTCCTTCTATCTCTGCCTGAGCATCAGTAAAAGCCCCTGAGGCAACATCTGAAAGATGTAATCAGACACTGAGAGCATGTAGCCTGCAGGAGCCCCAGCCCTCCTCCAGAAGGACTCCAGAGAAAGAGTTCAGATCAGCAGATTAGAGCAGCTCAATCAACATGTCGTACACACACTGCCGGACTCGCACCGCTATCTGTGCAGCTGATATGTGACTGACAGCAGGGGAGCCTCTCTAACCACACGTCAGTTTGAAGAAAACTTAGTTTACAGAGCCAACTTTATTATGTTATTACTATGTATTGTTTCTTTTTGCCATAACTTAAATGTTTTCCTTGTTTGTATGTTTTAAACTCTCCTTAGATGGCAGCTGTTTTTATTTTTATTTTTTTTTTAAATATAAGCCTCATTATACTTTGTTTCGCCAGGGGGTTGAGGATCTAAATTTAGACGTTCCACTGAGAAATGGAAAAAGTTTACAGATGCCAGTAATCCTCCTGGATCTAACTCTCTAAGAAAATGAAACACGAGGACTGTTAGTAAGAAAAAAGGAATGAGAAAGGAAACCAGGGAGCCACAGTGACCATGTGGGCTCCAGTCAGTCAGTGTGGCTTTCTACCAATCAGTGAAACGTGTCTGTAGTTAGTGACACCGACAAATGTATTTTATTTGAGTTAGGCAGAGAAAATGCACAGTGATCCACCTAATCTGACAGAGGGGACAAGGAGGAACACTTGTAAGAGAAGCAGCCAAAGGACTTTTGATCTCTCTGGAGGAGCTGCAGAGACCAGGATTTTTTGTTTTAAACCTGTGTCGGTTTAAATCTAAAACTCAGATATTATCATATAATTTATTCTGAAAGTAAATATGAAAGTCTTCAGATGTAGATTCATTGTTACTGTTCATTGGGTAAACCGTGATACGGGTAGCATCATGCTATAGGAAAAATTATTATGGGACTGGTGCTGCACTGGTCAGAATGGAAGATTGACCAGTGCAGACCCCCAAAGGTCTCAGTGAGTCTGAACCTGAGCCCAGAAAACTCGAGATCTGGCCCTGCAGCGATCAATCTGAGTCCCAAAAATTTCATATACCAACGAATAATTGTGGATTTTAACCTTTTTTTAAAGATCTATTGTAGAGCTACTAGGATACAATTGTTAAGAAATAAATCTCTTTTTAAACTGTGTCCAGAAAAATTATCTTTTCTTTATGTTATCTGTAGGACAGAGTTTAATTTTAATATTCATGCCCATGAATAACACACGTGTTGCCCTAAAGACAACACAGACTTTCCATTAAGATGCAAAATCAATCTTAATGTTTTTCACCATCAAACTGACCGTATTTTCATTATTTCATGTCCTCAGTTTAAGAAAATAAATCGCCAATGTGAAGTGCAACAGCGCCCCCTGTGGTAGAAAGGGAATTCCATGTGCAGAACAAAATGAGAAACTCTGTCATCTGCCTAAACTTTCCTGCTTGAGGAGAGTCCTGGTTCAAATATAAAGAGCTGGAGCACTGCCATGGAAAGCAGAAAATTACAAACAGGGACCACATTATGTTGACTGTTTTTCCAGCCTGCCTTCTTACTGCCATCTGTCTGGTTTACCGCATGGAAAAATCTCTCCTCTCCTCTCCTCTCCTCTCCTCTCCTCTCCTCTCCTCTCCTCTTCCTGATTAAATGCGTTACTAGAGTCACACATTTGCCCCGAGGCCCCTGAGTTTCCTCTGTTCTGCACCCCAAATAGCCGGTCAGGGGACCCACATTCGACACGCAGGCTCGTCATGTGCGTGGAAAAAGAAATTGATTTTCTTGCGTCCCGACTTTGCCTTCCTCCATTTGAACATCTTACAGTGAACTCCAAAGTGCTGCATACAGATACTCTAGTGTTACATATTAAAATCCAATGTGATGTACTTGCAAAAAGTATTCACATCTCTTTGAATTTTTCCACATTTTGCCGCATTAAAACTGCAGATTTCACTTTGTTTTATTAGGACTAAAAGTGGTAAAGTTAAGTGGAAGGAAAAGGATTTGTGTTTTATTCAAAAGTTGATGCTTCACAGAATGAAGGTCCTTGATGTTTAACTCTGGTCAGGCGCTTGTCTTTGTGGAGTTCACAATTTGATTTACAACTGTTTTTGTTGCTGTTATTTTACAAATAAACATAAGTGTGGGATTGAAGGAAAACAAAAAATTAACTTTTTGCTTCAATTATAGTTACAAGTCTTTTTGGGTTATTATCCTACCAGCTTTGAACATGCTGAGAAAGGTTTTTCCATTCTTTGTTGCAGAATATCTCAAGGTTAATCATATTAGACGACCTGGACTTTGGTTGGACCGTTCTAGCAAATAAATAAATAAACTTTGATTTAAACATATTGTGTTTGTCCCGCAGGAACATGATCATCTCCCCAAGTCTGACGTCTTTTTCAGCCTCTATCATTTTTAATTCTTCTTATCAACTCTGTCCAGCTTCACTCTCCTTCCCCTCAGCATGCTGCTGCCATCACCATATCTAACCATGGTTTGCTAGTTAGATAGCAGTTTTATTTATGCCTGCAGCAGAAATAAAACTGCTAAAACGTTGGTGTGGAAGACCAGATGAGTTATGTTTCTACTTACACAACGCAGCCATCTCTTTGGGAAGGTCCGCTCCAAAGCGTCCAAACAGGTGACTGCTGGCCAGCAGGTCAAAGGGCGAGTGACCCCTCATGGAGTTAAAGGTGAAGGGGTACATGGCACGAGAGAATCCCGTCATGTGACGCATTTGGTGCTCTCTGTTCGTTGCCATTGTGAAAAAGTGTGGCTGCTTATTCATCTTGTTTTTTGTTGTTTTTTGTTTCCTTTGTCTTCCTCTTTAGCTTCTTTGTCAGGGACGTTTGGTGACTTTGAATCGGGGTAGTGCCATTCAGCCCCGCTCAGCTGCTGGCTGCTCTTCTGTCCGGCCGCGGCGATGCTGAGGAGGGAGGCGGGAAGCAAAGTCCTGTCCAGGTCCGAATGCTGCAGGGAAAGAAGCAAATGAGCCAGAAGGTTCATTTCTGGAGGACTCAAGATAAAATGTGAAATGTTTATCAAATGCAATAGATAATAAATAACTGGTATAAGTAAGTAGCTATTTTAGTGATGCAAAAAAAAATGATAATAATAATCATGAGTATTTTTCCTGGCTACTCCTTGAATTCAAAACATATTGTGTCATTATTTCCACCTGAAAATGGATCAGCAATGTTTTTGTGGAGTTATCTATGTTAAAATTCCCCATTCATTCATTTAACAGTAGTTTCAGTTTATATTAGATTTAGATGAAGAATAGCTGAGCTTTATTAGGAACTGCAGCAGTGTATGTTAAGTCAAATAAAACATAAAGCTCTAAAATGATTAGAGAAAGTTTCAGTCCAAACTTCAGTCACTGAACAAAGAAACAGCCAAGAGATGCGTACTCAGCATCATAAATTGTGTGGCAGTCGGTTCAAGTTAAAATCACACTAATGTAAACCGTAAAACACTGACGATATGTAGAATAAATCTCAGTAATTCACACGTGAAAGAGATTATGAAGGATATCTGGGAACGGGGCTGGAGGCATCGCTGAAATATTAAAAGAGAAAAACGAAAACAAAGAAGATTAAGAACAAAACAAAGAAGACGAGTCAGAAGATCAGGCGGGAACGGTGGGGGCAATGTTGCGTTGCCTTTTTTTTTAATCTTTCGACTAGTAAAGTAATTTCAGGCATACCATATGATTTCAATCAGCAGAAGTGTATCATAAAGGCTCTCTCTGTTTCATTTGCCAGCCTGAATCCAGTCAGCCAGCCCACAAACAGTCAGCCGCAACTTGGGCAGTTTTAACCCTTCGCTAGAACAAACACACATTATCTTAGCATTCTCGCACCAAACACAGGCCCAGCCTCATCTGCTTTGCTGACAACTTTCTGATGAGAACATCTGCTCCTAAATCTTCCTTTGTTTGTTTCCCAGGAGTCACATTGTGGCTTATAACTCTGTCAGAAATGCTTAATGTGCAGCACTTCCTTCATCTTTCTCTGTAACTCCTGCCCCCCTTCAGTGAATTTATGAGTGGGTGGGGTTAAGCTCTCTGTGGTGAATCTGTGGTAAATACAGCTTGGCCAAAGAATGTCTTGTTGTTTTGGGTCTGCATGGGAATCAAACACCCAGGGTGGATAAGAGGCAGTGTGAGAGAATAATGGCTCTACACATGTCTTACTTTCAATAACTCCGAGTTGCATTTCAAATAAACAAAATAAATTTTACTGAATTAAAAAAGCAAGCAAACAAACAAACTATTCTTTCAAAATTAGGTCACATTCTCTTGTCTGTGCATGGGTGCAGGCGAAAACATAAATCTTTTGACTTTAGTGACAGATTAGACTCACACAAACAGTAAACTCCACTAACCCTGACAGCTCTGATTGAGGCTTGATCTCAGACTGAGTACAGATGTAAAACCTATTGGATAGCTGTTCAAAAAAACAAAACAAAACATGACTATAATTAACAAATGACATATCACTTAATGCCATTTGCCTCACAGTTTAAACTAATCACTAAGGAAAGCTTAAAAATTTAGGCAAAGAGGGACAAATTCCTCAGGAGCCACCAGTGCAGAGCTTTGCTCAAAACTGGCAGCAGGTAGGCGAGATTTACACAGCAGCATCAATACTTTTGGATGTGTTGATCTGAAGTTGTGCAAGAAGCAAAATGACTGGAGAATTCTGGTTCAAAGTAATTTTCTGTGAGGAATCCTACTTCTATTCAAGGTGTTACTGTAAGTCCAGCAGGAAAGCATCCTAATGAAACCCACAGTGTCTCGAGTAAGTATTCACACCCCATGAACTTCAAATGTAAAGAAAATCACACCCGCACTACGATGAATTCACCAAGAATTTATAGCAGCAGTGGAGTTGTCAGGTGGTTGCTGTCAAAGTGTTTGTTATTTCACGTACAACTTTACTGTAATTACTTTCATTAAAATCCAACTTTAATTTAATTAAAGGTGCATTGTATATTTTGATAAATCTAAGTTCTGAAATTATTTCACAGATGAATATTTGAAAAGTGTGGTGTGCATTTATACATTCACACTCTATAAAGTTAGTGTTAGAACGTTTTCTTCTAGTTCTGCCCTTTTATCTGGGCCCATTTTTCTATCAGACCTGATCTGCTTACCTGTCACTGACGTGGAAATGTGTCCCCGTATCATGCCACTGCCACCACCGTGTTCCACCCTGGTACTAGTGGTAGTAGGTCAGATAAATGAGGAGTGTTGGCTTTCTGCTCACTATAATATTTTCCCTCATGGCCAATGAATAAATATTCAGTTATTTATAAATGTAAAATAACAACTAGTTACTTGCTAATTAGTTGTTTAAAAAAGATCTTAGTTTTTGTTAGCGAATGTTTATTAAATGTTAAATGGTTGGTTTAAAGCTGCAGTATGTAACTTTTATAATTAAAAAAAAAATGTATTTTTTTAACTGTTACTATATAAAAAAGAAAATCTAGGGGGGGAAAAATCAAGCTCCTATCTCATTATCTCATGTTATGTTATCACAACATAGTGGCAGTTTTAGCCAAAACATATTGTCTATAAAAGTTACGTGCTGCACCTTTAAGAGAGCAGCTGAGGATGGTGTCCTACGGATCCAGTCCCATGAGAAAGTACAAGAAGTGCATCTTTATGTCCGTGCTTGTAGTAAATATTCTTCATTGCAGTCTACTGCTGACAATTTTTGTTTTTGGCCCCACAATAAAAGCCTGCCAGCTCCCGGTGTATGATTAAATGGCCAGAAGCCGAAATATAACAACTTATTTCCATCGTGTTGTGTCTTTTCACTGAACCGAATTACGACGAGTCGTGTTCCTAATCGCCGCTGAGAACATTTCACTCCTCTCCTCTGCTTTCATCTAAGCGACTATTATTAGAGTAAAATCCGTCCACGTCATGTCTTCCCACACACACGCCAAAGCGCCTACAGTACACGGCGCAGTTTCTCACCAAAATCCACAAAGTCAGCTCCCAGAGTGTTGTTTTTAAAGTCATATTTCCCATATTGACATATTTTCTGTAGCGGCTTGGCTCCGCTGCGGTTTTTCTTCACTGCGAGGGCCCCGTCGGGGAGAGTCCCCACAACTGTTTTCACAAAGAGCTGCAGTGTTTGACGATTAAAGAACGCCAAGCTCAGGCCGGACGAAGCATGCAGTTATTTCAAACGTAATTACATGTGCTTGCTGGGAACCGCTGCGTTTTGCAATCATACGTACGCAGAAGCCTCTTCTTTTTAAAGGCAGGACGCAGACACATGCAAGAACCGACATGCAGGCAGAAGCGGGTCGCCCGCGCGCACAGATGTTCTGCGACTTAAATCGCGCTCGTGGGCAGGTGATCAGCGGGGGACACACGACGTTCACACACTCTGAAGGACCATTGGCAGCGGCAATTGACCTTGAAGAATGAAGCCGTAAATACAGGACAGAGGATCCGACTGCAGATGCAGCGACTTCAAGAATACTCTTTAACCAATCAAAATTCAAAGAGCAAAAATATGTGGTATGAAAACCAGATGTATAAAAAAAAAAAACTGACATGAGGGGGGAAAAAAGAGTGAGCTGGAAAGAAAGAGGAAGATGGTGAGGCTTGTCAGGAAAGTAATGAAACAGGAGGCCGTTTTAAACATCTGGCCAGCTGATGAGAGACGTGGAGTTAATGAAATGGGAAACTAATAGGAGAAAGAGTTAATTGTGTTTAATGGTGGAGGGAGAAAGTGGAGCCGTTAAAGACTTACATAGAAGCAATTTTATTTCTGCCAATAAACTGCGAATTATTGAGCGCTCGCACTAAGCAGAGGTTTCTGCCTTTTGCTGGGGTGTTACTCGCCCCCACCCCTCGTTACCTCCAGGGGGAATACACCTTGGGCCGGGCAACAAAAGCAGCGCTGTGTCGCTGGGCCTCCAAGCCTCAATGCTGCTTTTATGAGACCTTGCTGGGTCGGGTCAAACTGGGTCACCTGGTCCTGGTACAGCTAACACGCACACACACACTTACACGCCCATAAGTGATGTTCTCTTTCCCCCAGACTAATAAAATAAGATCCAATGTATAAACAACGGCTGCTTCTACTTCTCTCTGCCCTACCAAGTCACTTCGTGCAGTGCCCACACTCACAGGCTCTTTTTCTTGCAGCTTTATTATTTTCTGACCCTAAATATAGAGTAAATGAGATATTTACATAACATATGTATGACATATGCCTACTTTTTCTTTTTTTTTTTCTGGCTTTCAGTCAGACTAAACTTTTCTTCTTTTAGGTCAGTAACGATTAGCAAAATTATGTCACTATTTTTACTATCTGAGGTGAAAAAATGCCAGAACAATGAAAGAACGATTTTAAAAAAAAAACCACTCTTTGAATTCATAAGCTTGCATAAATTTCTGTAGTGTTTGGTAGAATTGCCTTCTAAACTTTATGTGAAAGGATACCCAAAACATTCGACCCAAAACATTGAACCTCAGCTTCTCAGTAATTTTCCTGGAGTCAAGATTTCAGATCGCCACTTTTGCAAACTCCTCTTCAGCTTTACTAACAGATCTCCTGAGATCCAGAGTTTTCTGATGGACACTATAAAACATTTACTACATATCGTTGAATTATGTTCTCTACTGTAAACATTCATTTTTTCAGTTATTTCAAAGAAATTTGTGACTAAATTTCTTATTTTATGAATATTTTTGTTTAGTTTTTTTTCTCCCATTTTGATCTTTAAAGAAATTCATAAATTAAGCAAAAATTACAGATAAAAATAATTTTGCAAGTTTTATGTAAGAAAACTGGTTTGTCTTTTTAAAACCATGTTTTCAAGTTCAGATGAGTTGAAGTATTTTCTTGCTGCAGATTCCTGACTCATGAATATCATCAAACATTTGACTCACTTCACTGGCATGTTCTCTTGTGTTTCCCATTGTGAAGAGTGACTCAGAAATG